AGGAGCGCACAACAGTGGAAATTCCTAACTTTGTGCATTCTGGATTTTTCTGTGCCTACATTAATGATACAAATCTATTTAACAGATATTTATCGGGCATTTCCTCTGTACTAGTTTTAGGCAATGGGTACCATAAATGTAGAGAGGAGAACATTACAGGAATGACATGTGTATGATATGGATTGGTGTCCCATGGAAACCTATTCCAGAGCCTTCCATGTGGACCAGGAGGACATTTCCGATGCACTTCACTTCTGTGTCACTGGACCCATCCACCTCTATGCAATATTGGCTTTCTACAGAGGAGGGAGGATCCTAGTTCTGCGCGTTCTTCTGTGGATTAGAGCTCTCTGAGGTGTTCTCTGTCCCTTTCTTCTCTGTCTCCTAGTAAAACCGATACTTAATTTCTCTGGTTGCAAAGGCAAATTTATTGGTCCATCCTGCACTCATATCATCCAGTACATTTTCATATTTGTACATGCAAATTCTTTTTTCTTTTCCAGTACTAAAACATGAATGGCAGACCATTTGCTCTGCTGGTTAGGAGTCCATGCTGGTGACTTTGGAGCCATAAGCTTGTGTCAAAGCTGGTGGGACATAGGACAGTTAGTGGTCAGTGCTTCCGGCTGTGAGTGTGAAACACGTGGCTCACCAGCAGGTCAATAGAAAACCTTTCCTTGAGGACTGTGGTGTCCTACAGGGCTCCTCTGTATTCAGCCTATAGTATGGGGGTGTGGGCTGGATGGGTTTCAAGATCTGACTTAGTCCAATTCAAATGTGGGATCAGTTGACCATTGGATTTGCTTCCTTCATACAGTAATATTGGAAGTATGTCCTTATTTTCATAAGAAAAACATTTAAAAGTACTAAATCACCTATTTCAGAACTAAAATAGAGCTCACAGATTGTCTTTGTCCCCATTTTGCAAAGGCGAAACCAGCCCAGTGAGGCTAAGGGTCACATGGTCCCTGGTCACATGGCCATGAAGGGCAGGGCAGAATTTAAATACAGATCTCCCCTCACCTCCCCTACTGAGTGGAAATGGCTGCCCTGCAGGCCCAGCTAGACTCAGATGCAGTGCTCTACAAGAACTCCTTTCCGGGGGCACTCAGGATCCTCCCAGTGCAGCCTCTAAAATTGGCCCTGATATCACAGCCTCTCCTCCAAGAAAAGAGGCTGCTCCCCACCCCCTAGAGGCAGCGCCAAGGTCATAACTTAACCTGCATAATTAGAGCATCCATTCCTGAGGGGGGAAACATTGAGAAGATAAAGAGCCTCTTTAAAACAGATTCTTCCCAATACATTTTTTTCATAATTATAGCTTTAAGAGCTTATGGTGATGGGAAAGCTGGCTACTTAAGAAAAATTAGGAGTCTCATTTGGTAGGAGAGGATTCCCCAGGGGACAGCACGCTGTCGTTTTTCAGGGCCCCCGAGAAGAAACCCCTCCACAGACATCTGCACATTGGCCTGACACATGGCAAGCCTGCCTCTCTTATTATGACCAAAGCCAGATATTTTAATTAAAAACACTACATATGCCATTAAATGTGTTGTTCCCCCTCCAGCTCACAGACGTTAGGCGTTGCGGAGATACAAATAAGTGAATCCCTTGCAGATGTGGTCAGAAACCAAGGCCTCCTGAGTCACAACCAGCAGGTCCCCAGATTCTATGCACTATGCAGGCACGCTGTCCCTCTGTCATTTTCTCAGCATTCGCCATGGCGGGGGTGGGGGGGCAGAAGAAGAGCCAGGAGAGAGCAACCCATAATGCCCCCTACTTAATTTATGAGCAGAGCCTATTATTTCCCACATAACCTTCATGATAAATAAAAGCCCTGTGGGCCGCATGCAGGACTGTGCTGGGTTGTCCCCCGCTCCTTGTTAATGTTATTTACTTATTTTTGAGCACAAAAGTTGCCTATATAGGGTAATCACATTCCCACTGTGAGCTCAGGTAGGGAACTCAGAAAGGCAGTGCTTATTTAATTTAAACCATCAAAAAAAATGCTCTCATACAAAGATTTCGGCCCAATGTCACTGTCACTAGCCAGAGCACCTTTCTCCCCAGGCAAGTACCAATGGCTGGGTTTCATTTCCGGCTGCCAGGCCAGCCTGCACCTCCCGGGAGCAGCCCACAACTGAGCACCTTCCCTTGAAGGATTTTATTCAAGGTGACAGCTCCTCACACACTGGCCCTCTGATCACCTCAGGTAGCCAGGATATCAGTGGGGAAGAGTGTGTCCCTGCTGCAAAGCCCAAATTTAGATTGACTGAGGTTATCCTTAGGCCCTGTGACCCCACTGCTCCAACAGACCAAGGCTGCCAGGAACTTCACAGCCACAGTTTTGTAATGATGTCTGGGGAGAAGTGTTCCGCAGGGGCAGGCGGAGAAGACCCTGAGTGGTAGGGCACGATGTCAGCTTGCATTAGAGCAGCAGATAGCGCTGCAGTTTCCTTGGCATAATATGGCACTGGTATCTCTGTCAGGATCTCTGTTTTCTGTCACTGCACACAATCCTGGGCCTGTCTCGAGTCCTGACAGTCGCTTTTCAGATCAGGTTATTGCCGGCGCAGAGAGGAACTCAGCTTCCAACCATACAGCCCCTTTGTTTGAAGTCTGCCCTTTTGTCATTAATGCACTTGATGTCTATTTAAATCTGGCAGTGAGTGTGGTATCTGTTTTCCCGTCAAAAGATCATTGACAATATTAATACCACATGTCTTTGCCTCCTTTTCCTAGAGGTGACACCTAGCTGCGGTCTCCTGTATTTATCTGGCAGCCCTCTCTCACCAGGATATCTATAAACATTCTTGCTTCCAGGCCCAAAGAAACAGGGAAGTTCTTGAAGGACTTCTATCAGTGCCAAGCAGAAAGCAGGTCTGGGAATTTGGCTCAGAATGCATCCCGGCCTGGTCCACATTGCAGGAGCACCCTTCCTGCCTGTCGGGGAGATGAGAGTAGCAGTTCACCATGGAGAAAGGATAGAGAAAAGAAAGCTCATCCCTGGACACACTGGAGAGTTTGCTGAAGACAGGGCACTCCTGGGGGCAGTGTGTGTGCCTGCCTTCCACGTTTTTTGCTCAAGAGAAAGACTGTCTTCTTTATGGCATCTGACGACCCTATCCATTTCTTTTTATAAAAATCTGTTCCATCCTGATGCCAAAGAAAGAGACTAGTACCCTTTGGCATCATCCTTCCAGATTCCTGAGGGTTTATTTGAATCAGCACTGCCTGAGGCAGCCCCCTGTGGATTTTCCCATACCTCTGGGCACCCAGGCCAATGCTGTTCCTGGGGCAAACTTCACTGGCCCAGCCCACAGACCACCAGGGTCCTGGCATTGGTGAAAGTGTCAGCACAACACTGGACACTCCTCAGCACAGTAGAAGACTAGAGCTCAGTGCCAACAACAAGAGAGTTATTTAGGCCCCAAGACAAGAAGGGTCTCAATAAGGTTTCTTCCAAGTTCAGTACTTCCAGGTGCCAGACCAATGCTGAAAACCAAAAACTGAGGATTGGGGGCCAAGGAAAAAGCATGGCCAAGTGGGAAGAGTGCAGCACCATGACAACGATCAGGAGAATGTGGCCGGAAGTAATGAGAAGGGGCCACGGAACAAGGTCATCTGGTTCCTCGTCCAACTCTGAGAGATCCCGGGATCCCAGCAATTTCCAACTCTGCCCCAGTCCATCCAAGCCAGGGAGCGACTGTCCTACCCTTAGAAGTGTTTAAGAGTCACATTAATTCTTATTTAAAAGCAAAGTTTAAGGTTCTGTAGTGAAGAAGCAGCTCTGTTACTGTCACAAAAATATTTACCAGTTAAAAATTCTGTTAAGAACTGGCTAATTTGAAGTGCTGATTTATCCCAAATTAAGCAAGAAGGGAGCTTGCTTGTTGATTTCACACTCTCACAATGATGGGGAAAAAATCACGCATATAGGTAGTTATTTTCACAGACAGATTAGTGGCTTATGAATTAATGGTTTATGGATTTTTTTTGGTTCTTTTTCCCCTCTAGCTGGGTACATTTCAGAGATTCAAGTCCTATTAATACTGAGACAACTGCATCTAACTGAATTTTTAGTTCTTATAAAATTAGGAGGAAAAAGATGACAAAAGGCAAAAAGAAGTTATGCATATTTTCTTGGAAAAGCTGATTTTTTCCCATTTTCCCCCCTTAATAATCCTGCAAGGCTTTTTCAGTAGCTGTGTATTCGATGATTTCTTGTGAGAATTTAGAATTAATAATGAGTTGACTAGAAAGTTTAACCCTATACTAAGGATGCTTTTCATTCTTGCATTTTATACTCTCTTTGAATTCTTAGAGTAAGGCTGCTGAGATACAAATTACATAAAGGAAAATTAAAGATGAAAATGAAATATATTCTAACAAGAGAAGAGGGTCTGGGATGCCTGTAAGAAGAAGGCCCTTACTGTCAGGCCCTTGTGACCTACCCCATGGTATGTCACTAGTGCCACCACTGTTCCTGAATCATCTCTTAAGTGCTCAAAGAAAGGACTTCACCATCTGGGAAGATTGATCTCCAGCTTTTGCTTAGGCTGAGTCTACCTTTAAGCTTTTGGTTTTTCCATTTGTAGAAATTCTAGTGAGGAAACCAGGAGAGAGGAAAGGATTGTGTGCATTTGGGAGAAACACAGCCCCTTAAATGTGGAAATCATGCACAAAACGTTTTTTT